CAGAGTATAGTAGCAAAATCCCTGCTCTCGTATTCCAGGGGGAGAGTGGGGAGAGAGATAATAAACAAATGAATAAATAAGTGCATTATATTTTAGGTGTAGTAAGTACTATAGAAAGCAATACAAATAGCATTTTTTTTTTTTTTTTTCCCACTTGCTGTCAAATTGATTAGGACTCATGGAGATCCATGTTTGTCAGAGTAGAACTGAGCTCCACAGGGTTTCCAGTGGCTGACTTTTCAGAAGTAGATCCCAAGGCACCCCTGGGTAGACTCAAACCTTCAACCTGTTGGTTAGTGGCAGAGACCAAAAGTGACTGCACCACCCAGGGACTCCAAAAACAGCATAAAAGACTGATTTTTAAAACAAGATTTAATGGGATAGCCTTGCTGCTAAGTGTAAACGCAAAAACCTGAGGTAGGAATATGCTTGAGTAGTTGAAGGTACTACAACAAAACAACCTGCCTGTGGTGGGTGGAAGGAGAGAGGTATGAGATGAGGCCAAAAAGTAGACTGGGTCAAGATTAGGTGAAGGGAGCCTTTAGAAAGGTAGGTCCAATCTTGTCATTCCTCCTTCCAAAATCCTACAGTGGCTTCCCTCCTCTTTCAGAAAAACATTTCAAATTCACACTGAGTTCTACAAGGACAGAGCCCTACTGAATCCTCCTTCTAATCTCATTACCTACAACTTTTTCTCCCATCTGCCCACCAGCCACTCCTCCGAAGGAAGATGGGACAATCTACTTCTGTAGTGATACTGCCTTGGAAACCCAAGGAGGGGTCACTGTGAGTTGAAATCAACTCGACTGCAGTGAGCTTGGTTTGGTTTTTCTATTCCCATTATGGCTAAATTTCTTTCTACCTTACAGCCCTTAAGTGGCCACTGCTTAGCCCTTTATGGAGTTCTGGCTAGCATAGTTATCTCTTTCTCATCACTGAGCCCATCTCCTTAGATAGACCTTCTTCCTTGCCTCTCCAATCTAAAGGAATCTCATAGTCACTTTCCATGACTATTTAAATAGTCATGACTATTTTTGCTTTGACTCCCAATCAAAGCAAACTTCTTTGTACAGCTTAATTATAACTTTGTAAAAACATACTAAACTCAATGTCATAGAATCAATTAAACTTTTAGAGACCTCCATTGGATTTCCAAGGTTGTAAATCTTTACAGAAGCCAACTGCTTAAGATAGCAGGGCCCAGGGAACAGGCCACATTCTTCCACAGAGCAGCTGGTGGGTTCTAACCACCAACCTCTTTGTTAGCAGCCATGTGTCTTAACCATTACACCACCAGAGATCTTTTTATAATAATATAGTGTATACATATATCTATTTCATAGATTCGTTCAACAAAATAGCAGTTGAATAGCTACAATGCAGTTTTGTTAGGTAGTCATTCAATAACCACTATGTTAGGTATCTGTTCTACCCCTAGATCTCAGGATGGACTCCTTATCACTCATTCAACACTTAGCAAATTCTTATTGCACACTTCCTGTGTGATAATCCCTATTATAAAAACTGGGCACACAGTGGTCAACAGGACAGATTAAAGATCTCCTTTCTCATGGGGCTGAATTATTATTATTATTATTATTGTGATTTGGGTGAAAATTTACAGAGCAAATTCACTTCCCATACAGCAGTTCACATAACTTTGTCTCATGACGTTGACCACAATTCACCACAATGCAACAGCTCCCCTCCCACTTCCTTCCGACAGTCACCTCTTCCCTGTGTCCATCCCTCCATGCACTCCTGCCCCCTGAGCTGTTTCCTTGTGCCTAAACAGCCCTTCTTTCTCCCATGATTGTTCTCTCCAAGGAGTGTATCTACCTCAGGTGGTGCTGACATTTTTAATGAGAGTACAAACAATAAGAGGAGCAGAATAAAAATGAGAAATAATTTACAGCAAATGTGGAAATCAAATCATAGTAGATGTCTCTACTGGTTGAGTGGAAAAGAAATCCATGTCAGTTAACCAAAACAAAATTGAGAGACAATACTATTGATTAAACATGAAAAAACCTAGATCCTTAAACAAGGTCTTCCCACTGTTGGTATGTTTGGAAGCCAAGCACTTTGAGAGGAAAACTGACCATCAAATTTTCTACATAAACTGCTGCTGTTTTCACACTCTGTATATTACTAAAATCACTAAAGTGTTAGAGATAAGTAACTGATGCTTGGTAGGTGATGGCTGTTTTTCTTACATTATATTTTTATGGTGTCTTATTTTCATTTTAAGAAAGCTATATTGGCTGTTAAGGAGCTCTGGTGGCATAGTGGAGAAAGCATTTGACTGCTAACAGAAGTTTGGCGGTTCAAACCTACCAGCCCTCCGTAGAAGGAAGAGGGCAATCTACTTCCATAGAGATTTACAGCCTCTCAAACAAAATGGGGGTCTCCATGCGTTGGAATCGACACAATGGCAGTGAGTTGTTCTATTGTTGTTGTTGTATTGGCTGTTGGACCCAAACTAGACCTGTAGAGTGTGTGCTATTATATCAAAAACCTAAATGGAAACACACACACAAAAACATGCCGATATGTTTAAATTTGTGTTTTGAAGTGTTTTGGGGCTAGAAGTTCTTTTAAAGCATCTCTGGTTTTAAAGTAAAATTAAAATAATTATGGGATTAAGTTTTTCTTCATGGAAGTCCAATTGGAATGCTCTATCCCCACATCTCAAATGGACTCCTTATCTTTCAGGTCTCAGCTTGAATAACATTTTTCTCCAGTTGTCTTTCTTTGACTATCCAATCTAAACACCCACAATTCTCTTAATACATTATCCATAGACCCTTGTTGTTGTTGTTGTTATGTGCCGTTGAGTCAGCCCTGACTCATAGCGACCTCTCCTTGGGTTTCCGAGGCAGTATCACTATGGAAGTAGGAATGCCCAACCTTCCTTCCGAGGAGTGGCTGGTGGGTTTGAACCGCCAGTCTTCTGGTTAGCAGTCAAGTGCCTTAGCCACTATGCTACCAGAGCTCCCCCATAGACCCTTAGCACTATCTATGTTGTTGTTGTTATGTGCCGTCGAGTCAGCCCTGACTCATAGCCTCATAGCGACCCCTCCTTGGGTTTCTGAGGCAGTATCACTACGGAAGTAGGATTGCCCAACCTTCCATATAGTGACCTTTTTTATTTGTTTGTTTCTTGTCTATTATCTGTCATCTAAAATGTAAACAGGAGCTCTGGTAGCTTAGTGCCTAAGGCACTTGATTGCTAACCAGAAGGCTGGCTGTTCAAATCCACCAGCCACTCCTCAGAAGGAAGACGGGGCAATCTACTTCTGTAGTGATCACTGCCTGGGAAACCCAAAGAGGGGTTGCTATGAGTTGGGTCCATCTCGACAGCACATAACAACAACAACAACAACAAAATTGTAAGCATGAAGGCAGGGACCTAGTCCTAGAATCTAGAACTAGACTGTCTTACAGATCTTTTTATCCATGTACCTAGGCCAGTGCCAAGCACGTGGGACTCTTGCTTGTTATTTTAATAAATGAGTGAATTAATAAACAAATTAATGAAAAATTGAGCCTTTACTCCGTGTCAGGCTGTAAACTATGTGCTCTATATGTAACCCCATTTGCACTGACTCCTCACACCTGTAAACCATAGGCAATATTCCCATTTCACAGACAAGATAGGCTCAAGAAGTTTAAGTGGTTTCTGAGAAGACTGCCTGAAGCCAAAACCCAATCTCTTCCTACCACTGATAAAGTGGATTCCAATTTCTCTCACACAATTTTTTTACCACAATTAATCGAAAGCATTACCCACTGAGCTTGAATATTTCTTTTTGGAATTAAATGCATGAGGGAAGCAGGAAAAACATCCAGAAGTTCCAGTAAGTGGTGTAATTCACATACCCTGTATACTTACTGATCCTTGGGTAAACAAAGGTGGATGTACAGTAACTTAACTTATTGGTTCAGGAATTATTTAGGAACAAAAGCTCTTTTTTTTTTTTTTCTTTTTACCACATAACCTGACTATCTAGGAAATAATTCTAGACCCAGCTGCCTAGCAACCAACTGCCAATTTTCAGTTTTTGAAAAGTTTATGGATTGCTTGGGTATTTTCTTTGTTTGTGCCCCTTCGCTCTTGACGACAAAGTTTTGACTATTTCGTTTTTGTTTTTGTTTTTACTCCCTCTGTAAAAAGGAATAAGATGGAAAAGGCAATTGGAAAACTGGGAAAGCTGTTAGCAAGTATGGAAAGAAAGAGTTCTCACCGCACCTCTCACCACCGCCTTCCTTTCCAAGTTATTACCAGGAAAATTTTGAAATTGGGAAAGCCAGTTTCCCCTTGATAAAGTGAATACCACCCCTCCAATGGATATACGACACCCTCCCCACCCCACCCCAGCACACACTTGTAGCCAGCTCACAAGCGCCTTTACACCTTCTGTATGGAGACTGTAGAAAGCCTAACAGTGTTGTAAACAACGGGCAAAGAGCCACGCCAAGCACTATGACAGGGCTTGGGTGGAGGTTGAAATCCCAGTCCAGAAAGTCGTGAGAGGTGCCTACTAATGACCGCGCTCAGTTCCCCATTTCCTTTCCTGTGGGACTCTAGCCTTAAGTAGCCAAAAAGTGACTGCACAGTGAGTCAGGGCGTAGCACCAGACTCCGACTGGGTACGCCCATTGCCCAAAGGATGACGTCCACCGCGGACTCTAGAATAGTATGGGAGCCGAAGAAAAAGATCCTGCTCAGATGGCAGTGGCACGGGAGAGTCTTCCTACGGTACCCCGAATACCCGCGTCATGATAGTACACTGTAATTTACTTGGGGTGCCTTTCAGACCAAAGGGGGAACCGCGTCTGACTTGTTCGCCCAGGCTTCCCCACAGAGCCCAGCGAATGGTTAGCACGCACAAATATTTGTTGTCTGGCTGACTGAATGACTGAATGAATACATAAATGAATGCGCTGAGAGTCAATACATTCCTCTCACGACTCCACGAGAACGCTGAGACCGCCTACCCGGTCTCTCTGCCACCCAAATGTCGGGGCCCCAGTGTGGAGGCAGGAACTCACCCTCTCGGCAGGGCTCTCCGGGCGGCAGCATCACCTGTCCCGCCATCGCCCCCAGATGGGGCTTCCCAGGTGCTGGCGTTTGCTTCTCACCCACCTGGGCAGCCTCTCCTCCTCCCCATTGACCCGCGTTTTGACAGAGCTGCTAGGACGCCGAGGGTGTACGCTGACCCCGCCCCTGGACAGCTCAGCCAATGGGGAGGGCTGGGTGGACCCTCCAGAGAGCCACGCCCACTAGGGCTAGGTACTGATTCTACCTACGCAGGTAGCAGCAGTCCCTGGCCTCCTAGTGACTAACTGGGGGACGAGCTATTCCCAGCGGAGAAATCGAGAAAGCATGGACACATCATCTCATAGGGCAACAGTGTCTCTTGGAGCTTGAAGGCTGCCGAAGAAACGCTCGGGGTAATTTGGTGGCGTAAGGACTGAGCCCCCTTCTGGTTCCGGTTGTTGTTGTTATGTGCTGTCGAGTCAGACCTGACTCATAGCGACCCCTCCTTGGGTTTCCGAAGCAGTATCACTACGGAAGTAGATTGCCCAACCTTCCTTTTGAGGAGTGGCTGGTGGTTTTGAACCGCCAGCCTTCTGGTTAGCAGTCAAGTACCTTAGGCACTACGCTACCAGAGCTTCTAGGTGCTTGAAATGCCCCCTGCTCTCGGTCCTGCCGATTGTTTTAAGCCTTCGGTTGTTAGCTTCTTTGTATGGAAGTTACCTGGCCACTGGAGTTCGGCGCTAAAGTTTATTCCAGAGGATTTAGGACAGATTTTCCCTTCTGTACTATTATTACCATCTTCCGCCTCAGCATTTCTCTTCTCATTTCCAGCCAGGAAACTTTTTCTTTTTTTTAAATTTCTGAGTCAAATAGTTCATTGGAATAGACACTCAAGAGAAAAGCAATGCCCAAACTGAAACCACCTATTCCTGTGAAAGTATCCTGTTGTTTTTAGGTGCCATACCCTGGATTCTGACTCACAGCAACCCCATTTACAACAGGGTGAAACACTGCCCCATCCTGCACCATCCTCACAATCGTTTGTTTCTATGCTTGAACCCATCATTGCAACCACCGTGTCAATCCATCTCATTGAGGGTTTCCTCCCTTTTCACTGGCCCTCCACTTTAACTCACTGCCTTGGAGTAGGAACAGACTGGTAGCGACGACCCCCTCCTTTGGTTTCCGAGGCATTATCACTATGAAAGTACATTGCCCAACCTTCCTTCCGAGGAGTGGCTGGTGGGTTTCAACTGCCAGTCTTCTGGTTAGAAGTCACATGCCTTAGGCACTAGGCCACCAGAGCTCCTACCCTCCACTTGCCAAGTAGGATATATCCTTCTCCAGGGACTGGTCCCTTCTGACAACATGACCAAAGTGGTGAGACAAAGTCTGGCCATTCTCACCTCTAAGGAGCATTCCAGCTGTACTTCTTTCAAGATAAATTTGCTCATTTCTCTGGCATCTATGGTATATTCAGTGTTGCATATTTGACTGCTAACCAAAAGGCTGGTGGTTCAAACCCACCAGCCACTCCCTGGAAGGAAGATTGGGCAATCTACTTCCCTAGTGATATGGCCCTGGAAATCCAAAGAGGGGCCACTATGATTCAGATCTGACTCCATGGCAGTGAGTTTTGTCTGAGTTTTTTTCACCAACAGCATAATTCAAAGGCATCAATTCTTCTTCAGTCTTCCTTATTTATTGTCCAGCTTTCACACACAGATGAGGAGATTGAAAATATTATGGCTTGGGTTGGGCACACCTGAGTCTTCAAAGTGACATCTTTGCTCTTCAATACTTTAAAGTAGTCTTTTGCAGCCAATTTCCCAAGTACAATATGACTTCTGATTTCTTGACTGCTGCTACTCTGGTTGGGAGCTCTGTTTTGCTACTTTAGTCATGTTGTAAGAAGTGACCATTCCCTGGAGAAGTATATCATGCTTGGTAAAGTGGAGGGTCAATGAAAAAGGGAAAGACCTTCAACAAGATGGATTGACACAGTGGCTACAACGTTGGGCTTAGGTATTGCAAGGTTCATGGGGCTGGCACAGGACAAGGCAGTGTTTTGTTCTGCTGTCCATAGGGTCCTTATGAGTCAGAGATGACTCGACGACACCTAACAACAAGCTTCCATGGGTGATTGTGGAGCCAAGTAATATGAAATATTTGACAACTTCAACCTTCTCCCCATTTATCATTATGCTGCTTATTGGTCCAGTTATGAGGATTTTCATTTTCTTTATGTTCAGATATAATCCATACTGCAGGCTGTAGTCTTTAATCTTCATCAGTAACTGCCTCAAGTCATTCTCACTTTCAGCAAACAAAGTTGTGTCATCTGCATCTCGCAGGATGTTAATGAATCTTCCTCCAATCCTGATGCTATGCTCTTCTTTATATAGTCCAGCTTCTTGGATTATTATCTCAGCATACAGATTGAATAAGTATGGTAAAAGGATATAACCCTGACACATTCCCTTCCTGATTTGAAAACATGCAGTATTCCCTTTTTCTATTTGAAAGACCTTCTTGGTCTAAGTACTAGTTCCTCATGAGCACAATTACGTGTTCTAGAATTCCTATTCACAATGTTATCCCTAATTTGTTATTATCTACACAGTTGAATGACTTTACAGAGTCAATAAAACACAGGTAAACATCTTTCTGGTATCTTTGCTTTCAGCTAAGATACATCTGACGTCAGCAATGATATCCCTTGTTCCATGTCCTCTTCTGAATCCATCTTGCATTTCTGGAAGTTCCCTGTGAAAATACTGTTGCAACTGTTTTTGAATTATCTTCAACAAGATTTTACTTGCATGTGATATTAATGATATTGTTCAATAATTTCCACATTCTGTCGGATCTTCTTTCTTTGGAATGGGCATACATATGGGCCTTTTCCGTTCGGTTGGCCAGGTAGCTATCTTCCTGGCAAACATGAGTTAGCACCTCCAGTGACTCTATGTATTCTTTCTATCTTATTTTGATGTTTCCTGCATTATTCAATATTTTCCCCATAGGATCTTTCAATATTGCAATTTGAGGCTTGAATTTTTTTATCAGTTCTTTCACCTTGAAAAGTGCTGAGCTTGTTCTTCCTTTTTAATTTTCTAATTACAGGTCTTTGTATGTTTTCTTATAATACTTTAGCTTCATGAGCCACCCTTTGAAATCCTGTTCAGCTCTTTCATTGCAACATTTCTTCCTTTCACTTTAGCTACTCTTAGTTCAAGAGCAAGTTTCTGAGTCTCTTTTGACATTGATTTTGATCTTTTCTTCCTTATTTTTTTAATGACCTTTTGCTTTCTTCATATATAATGTTCTTGATGTGATCCCACAATTCACCAAAATAATACCTAATGTATATTGTCCACCATCTGTCTGTCAGTTTTTACTATGATAGCTTGTGTGTTGCTGTGGTGCTGGAAGCTATGGAAGACCAAATAAGACTTGATGACTTTGAATTGTGGTGTTGGCAAAGAACACTGAAAATACCATAGACTGCCAGAAGAATAAACGAATCTGTCCTGGAAGAAGTGCAGCCAGGATGCTCCTTAGAAATGAGAATGGCCAGACTTTGTCTCATCTACTTTGGTCATATGGTCAGAAGGTACCAGTCCCTGGAGAAGGATATCATGCTTGGTAAAGTGGAGGATCAGAGAAAAGGGGGAAGTCTTTCAACAATAGATTGACACAGTGGTTGCAACAATGGGCTCAAACATATCAAGGATTGTGACAATGGTATAGGACCGGGCAGTCTTTCATTTTGTTGTATGTATTATCTCAACTAGTTGGAATTGACTTGATGTCACCTAACAAAAACAACATGCCAACCACTGTATTTCAAACACCAGCAGGATCACCATGGTAGACAGTTTTCAGAGGAGCTTATAGACTAAGACAAGGAAGAAAGGCTTGGTGGTCTGCTGAAAATTGCCAATGAAAACCTCATGGATCACAACAGAACATTATCAGACTTGCTGCTTTGGAGACATCATCAAGGGGTTAATCACTAGAAGACAATATAATGTTTGGTAAAGCAGAGGGCTGAGAAGAGCATGGGATATCTTCAGTGAGATGGATTTGCACAATAGCTGCCATGATGGTGAGCATGGTGGCAATAGCAAGGATGACTCAAGACCAGGAAGTATTTCATTCTATTGTACATTAGATGGCCATGTATCAGAGTCAACTTGAAGGCACTAACAACAACATGTATTGTATCCTGTTGTTAGATGCTGTTCTGGTTACCTAGTGCCGCTCTGACAGAACTATACCACAAATGGGATGGCTTTAACAAACAGGAGTTTATTCTCTTACAGTTCAGGAAGCTAGAAGTCCCAGTTCAAAGTGCCAAACTCTAGGGGCTGTGTGAAAGCCCCTTGACCTTGGGCTTCAGCCTTGCCCTTGCTCCCAACCCACTGAAGCTAGAGGCATTGCTTCATCCAGGCAGCTAGTGGCTGCTGAGGCTAACAAGCCTAGCATTGACAAATGAAATGGCACAGTCCTGATGTTACCAAACCACATGACAGGCCATTAATTTAAATCTATTGTAAGTCCCAAGGTTGGCAGAGCATGGTAAGTTGTGAAACAATGACACAGCTACATGCAGGGTTCAAGCATGCCATAAGCTAGAGACCATTCCCCAAGGCTTCTCCTTATATACAGGAAGCAGACCACATCCCTAAGGCAGCTACTCAGCTGCTCACAGTAGATTCCACCAGTTTCATCATGGGGAATACCACATCCAGCTGCCCAGCCACTCAATCAGGGCCAGCCAAGTTGACATACAAACTTAACTGCCACAATGCCATCAAGTCACTTCCAACTCATGGCAACATTCCCTGGTCCTGCCCCATTCTCATATTCATAGCTATGCTTGATCCCATCGTATCATATCCTAGCTATACCATAAATATGTAGGCACTTAATCTATATTAACACAGCATATTCTATTAACCTTCAATTTACAGATAAGGGATGTATTAACACTTAAATTCTAAAGCATTTGGGTTGTGGAAGGTTGCTGTATACAGTGGGAGCCCCAACTG